TGTGGACATCATAATGTTGGTGTATAACTTTAACGATGCTTTTTCCTACTACTGTTTTGGATTCACATCACATTCCCCTGGACCATCGCGATGCTCTTCCATTCTCGTGTTCGGCACTTTCTCTCACCTAACCAGAATTTTCGCTCCTAAACTTACTGATTTTTATACTTAAACAGGAACAAGTGGAGAAATAATTATTTGAGAATGAAATATTTGAATTTTGCATGCCCTCCTATTAGGGGGGAACATTTATAGATTTCCTTGGGACTTTGGATCATTCTAGAAAATGATAGTTGACGACCATTTAGTGATGGGCTAATAACTAATTTCGTTATGCAATCACGTGTAATTCAATGGTTTAGAAGTCATGCTTTATCTTGGATGTAGAAAGTAGGAAAATAGAATTGAAAAAGTGGAGAAGAAAGAAAGTGAACCAAAACATAAATGGAACCCTAAGATCTAGGTCGATGTGGTGTAGACAAACCCTAGGTGGTATGTCACCGGGTTATTCAAATAATGTGGCGTTTTCTGTGATTTTCCAAGTTACAACTTCGGATTTACACACGTGTTAAAGTAATGGTTTTTTCCCACCATCAAAAGAGACGGTTTGCCTTGCATCTTTTGCGAGCCTTCTTTGCTTTAGCTGCCTTCGTGCTTTTAGACTTTGTCTAAGTGGTTGAATTCAGAGGATAGACTTCTAATTTTGACATCAACAACTAGTAAAGTAGATTGTGAGTCTAATGTCAATCTATAATGCAAAATATCCAAAATGATAATCCTAAAACTAAATATCGAAAATGATAACTTTATCTATGCAATCAATTTAGCGACGATTTAAACTCACAATTCTAACTATAAGGCAATGAAAGAAAGTTTTTGGTTGAATTCAAGAAAATTGAGATATTATACGATTTCAGGATAGTTTATTTGTGTCACTTTCCATTTTTAAATTTTGAAATGCACAATCGTGCAATTGATCGAATTTTCCTAATATATACATCGGTGTAAAATTAAAATTACTTAATTCTAAGAACTCACTATATCTCAATGTGAATTATAAATATAACCAAGTGCATTTAAATAACTAGAAAATCTCCACGTGATCGCACAAATTTTAGCCATATATATACGTACCTCATATCCAAATTTTATATTTTTCATAATTTTGGTTTAAATTCATAAATTCCTTTTCTCTAGGTTTCATCATGGTTGACCAATGTTTAAAGGCAACAAATTTAACCCACAAAAATAAGCGTATAAAGATATACTTTAAAGTCAAGGGAAAAAAGCACAAATTAAATTATTAAAACTAGGATACATTATTCGTCCTGTTATTGTACAAGAAAAGCACAAATAATAATTAGAAGACATCACAGGATTTATGTAAAGAAATGAGAAGATGAAATCTTGCATCAATGTGACTTTCTCCATTTTTTTTTTCTTTTTGAAATTTTCAAAATGTAGGTTGACTCTCATTCATGTTCTAAGGAAATCTCCAAAATTGTTTACTCCTAATGAATCTAGGAAATTAGAAATACTAGTTATAGTTGAACGTGCAATCATGTTATTATAAAATGCTCTATAGGTGCTACAAAAATAATATTGTAAGATGTGAGAATATAAAAAATAATTAATACAAATTATTTATGTGGAATGAACTTTTGATTCAAATGAAATAAAAACCAACTTGTGAAAACAATTTAAATAGTTAAGAAAATTAATTAGAATAATTCCTCCATTTACCCTTCTAATCTGAACTGAGCATCTAACGAATATCATCCTTGTTGGGTTATGTACCATAGAGTATTTTTTGCTATGATAAAATTATAAATAAATTGTGATTTTATTTATTGCTTTATTTATTATTGAGCATGCAAATTAGATCGTCTATGATCACTTGAGATAATATAAATTGAGTATTTGCGTTGAGAAGTGCAGTGTGATACAACTTATATTTTGATTATAAATAATTTGTTCACAACTAAAGTATAAGGGTTGGCACCTTGTACTGGAAGTTTGTAATATTGACCGATTCACTATTCAGGTTTGTGATTTGTTTTTATCATAGAAATAGTTAAAGGTGATATTAGTATACTTGGAGTGTATTGAACGGACCGCGTATCGAATTTAATTCTATAGAATGACATGCAGATAATTAAATTTCACTAGACCGCTGTGTATTTCATCTAAATCCCTTGACAAGATTACATATATCTTTTCATGATTTCAATGGTTGTTTGATTTATCAATGGGTGAGATCAATTTGATTAGTCAAATATCTCAATATGTTAGAAACTTGAGAATGAGTGGAGTAGAGAATATGAATTCATGTCGGGAACCGTCACCCTGAAAATGGATAGAGTGATTATTTAAATATTTTCTGTTGAACAGTTAAAACCTGAGTTCAGTGCTTAGCGACAGCTAAACTTCGACATCTGTGATTAATTCACAGGACCATTGAAGAAAATAAAACTTAAATTATTGAGAATAAGTTGAGGGGCAAAACAGTTATTTATGCTCGTACCTAATTATCTGATCTCGGACGAGGATAAAATACATATACAGCATGTCAGAGGAAAATATTACAAATTTATTGACTTCTGTGATCTTATATATTCCGAGAATTCAGTGTTTTGCCTTTAGTGAAAAAATAAAGAGTAATAATTAGATTTGGTGGTCTGGGGTCAACTAGACAGAATCTAACTATTGGAGCTTGGATAACATATGTCCGATCAGGTCCTATAGTTGCTTCATAAAGTATTGAAACTTAATTACGGTAACTATAATAGTTTTGGGTTTAATTGTAATTACAATAAAATTTTGTACTTAGTTGTAATTACTACAAAAGTTGTAAACTTAATTGTAATAAAGTAATTGGATTTGGACTTTAATTTTAATTAGAATTCCTATTTGAATGTGAAATTATTATTGTATAAAAATTGAAACTCTTCTATTTCTATAAATAGAGATTAAATGGATCCTAGACATCCTATAGAATGGAATTATACAACATTCTTAATACATAATTCCATTGTGATCAAATTTTTGAAAGCACAGAAAAAAGAGAGAGAGAAATTATTTTTCTTGATTTTTCAATTGTCCAATTCAAGAATTAGATTCTTGATTTAATTAGAAGAAGGTGCCCAACCACTAGTATAGTTTTGATTTTGGAGGTTTGAAGTATCAAGTTCTTGGAATTAAAAGGCTGAAAGTTCATGATCCAAAAGCTAAAAGTTCGTGATTCCGAATTAATTCAAAAAGTGATCATCAAATTTAGGTAAAAATTTGAATGCTTTATTTTTTATATAACATATACATGAACGTCGAGATGATTTTGTTTTTGAATTAAAGAGATTTTTAATTTCTAGATAATTCTGCTTCCGCATTCCAGTAATCCTTTCTTCATATTCACTTAATATGCATAGAATATATCAATTAAAATTATTTATTATAGATATGCATTATGTCCCTCTATTTACCTTCCCCGTATCCTAACATTCATTGGATAAATCAATTAGAAAAAACTCTAAAAATATCCATCTTTTGTTTCAAAATTTTTTTTAATGAATTTCATTTACTATCCAGTCAAGTAAAATGACTTTGTCAAAATGTATGTTGATCATAATTAACTAATTGACAAGCTAATTCATGATAATATTGTTCAAATGATTAAAAAGATAAAATGCATATTGAAGAATCAAAAGGTAAGAAATCTGTTAATTATGATTGAGAATTCAAAATTGTGTCAATGAAAGCCCTTAATTAAGTCTATGAAAAATAAAATAAAAAAAAATAAACCGAAAAATAAAGTCTCTTTTCCGTCACGTGCGGTCACACCAATGTTTTCCGCGGAATGCCTACTGAAAGAAGCAGAATTGTGCCAGATTTTTTTTGCTTTTGCACCCTAAGTCCCTGAACAAAAATTTTATTTCTACAAACTTCTAAATATGCTCATTTTAGTTCCTGATTTAAATTTTCTCCTCTGTTTCCTGGTTTTCACGTTTCATCTTCTTGACCATTTCTCCAATATCTTTTGACTCTTACAATTGCTTCATTTTCAGTCCAATTTCATAATTTCTCTAAAATAAATAGAGAAAAACAAAATTAATAGAGATCATTTTTCCAAACTTAACAATTATGTGAACTCAGCCCAAAAAAAGTGTAAAACATACGCCTTTCACAAGGCACACTACACCATGGCACTTTGTGTGAAACGAAAACTCAAAATTAATTGGCTATGTAGAGAGTGACTGGGAGGGATGTCTTGATTATGAGAGAATCTTCAATAGGGCAATCGCACCACGTGGCAATGCGACAGCCCTATCAAGGTGTGCCACCTCGACGAGTGGTCCACACACCTTGGGATGTGTTGTGGGCCACCCACTGAGGTGGCGCCTCGACATTGATCGTGCGACTGCCCCACTAAATATTCTTCCCTTGATTACATGAAGATTACATATCAATACTCCCTCCGTCCCTAAAAAAATAGACTTGCTCTCATTTTTTGTTTGTCTCATATTATAGATCACTTTTCTTATTGAGAATATAATTTATATCATAATTTTTTAATATATTCTTTTTAAATGTGCCTTCAGTGCTGTGTGTACTGAAATTGTACACACAGAAACATCACAAAAGAGACACAATACTGGGGTGGGTGAGTGATCTTTTTGGCTTTTTTATTACAACATGGGCTCCACAATGTGAGATTTCCGGTGCATTTCTGTGAAACACTCTTCAGTACATATGGAATTGCTGAAAGAAGTATTAAAAATCTTTTCGGATTTGGAGCCGTTGGCAGGGTCTTGATGTCATTGGTACTTGTTGGGTCTGACTTGATCAGAGAAACCTGCCCGATTGCATGTACAGGTTCATGTAAAATGCCCAAAGTACATCTCCGGCTAAAGACATGAAACTATCCTGGATGATTTATAGAACACAACAAGAGCCTTTAAAGTAAAAAAATTCAAACATGAAAGCCAAAATTATATAATCTGGAATGCAATATTATATTGAGAACAAAATGATGTTTCATTATTCGAACTTTCTACAGCAAATAATTCAATCAACTAATTCAAATAATTGAAGGAGAATTTATGAAACCTGTGGTTGAAATTAACAACTACCAACAGCCTAAAAAAAAAAAAAAAAAAGGAGGTCTAAAGATCAAATCTTTAATCTTTAGCAATTCAGACATTAACTGAGAGATGCTAATCTGAAATTCATATCTCTTCTTTCCTAGGGGAGTTGCGCGGTGGCGATAAATCATCCCACCAATCAGCATAAATTCGATTAATTTGCCTGTTCAGTTTCCATTTCGATATCTCCTTATTTTTTGCATCTTCGTTAACGGGAGCACCAATCACTGCACTTGCAGGAGCTGAATTAATTACAGGCACGGGGAGAGGCTTTGCTGGAATTTGGGAGCCAGAATTCATCATCAGCTCTGTCTCAACACGAGCACCAGGTACCTGCAAATCTGCAGAAAAAATCAAGCATATATTTCAGAAGTTTTTATGAAAAAAATAGAAAAAAAAAAATCCATATTTTGGATGAAACTTAAAGATATAATTCCACTCATCTTTCTCGCCTTTCATTTTGATTCGAATATGGCACTATGCCTACATACAAGTGTCATTTAAAATGAAATATCTTTAGCCCTATGTTACTAAGTGGCCAGTGAGATTTCGATTGTGTTATCTGGACAGACAAAATTTGTAGTATATGAAAAGAACACGGTTAACATTCCCTGGGAAATTCTGTTACTATTATAAATGAGAACAATCCTTTTCTTGTTGATGCCATGAAAACATTATATGGTTGTGGCAAATACTTTTTGTATTGAATTACACGAAATAAATGATAAATCGAACTTATGAGAGGCTAAATATACCTGATGGGCCATGAGCGAAATGACATCTTTCTCCAAAGGGGCATTGGCCGATCTCCCATTTGCTACATAGTTTTGTTTTCCAAAAAGCTGTATTTGCTTGGGAAGTGTTGGAACTCACGTTGACGTTCTTATTATAATCTTGCTTATCATAATCACCTCTTCTTCCCAATGCAGGCCCTGTAGTTCCAATACTTATTGCAACACTCTCCCTATGTTCTCTTGACATGTCAGTTTGAAATTTCATGGGCTGTTCATGAAGAAAGTTGCATTTCTCTCCATATGGACACTCTTCGCCATTGTAAAACTTCTTGCAAATTTTCATCCTATGTATCATTCTTTGATCATCATTGAAATTTCCAACCCCTCTCTCCTTTTCTCGAACAAGTTCTTGCCAATTTGGAGGGGGTTCGCGTAAATCTTCAATGCCATGAGCAAATGTGCAATGCTCCCCATTCCTGCAGGTGCCTTCCATGAATTTTACACAGATACGGGTCTTGTAAAATATATGGCTCGTTCCTTTAGCCCCCGAGGATTTAGCGAATTCATCCCGGGATTTCATTGGTGCAAAAGTTGCACAATCTGGTGGGTTGCTTTCAAAATTCCTTGGTCTCATAAAAGGAGGATGCTCAAATTGAAAATTAGCGTCATGTTCATTGTTCATAGAAGGTTGAGGCCAAAACCCGTCCACATCTCCACCGGCAAAATGTGGTGGATAGGGAGGAAGTGGTGGCTGTTGTGCAGGATCAGGGAAGCTCATCCTGTTTTGGTGCTAAAAGAATTTCTTGAATCTATTTTCTCCTATAAATATGCTAAGATTAAACTTTTGGATAGAAAAAATTGATATCAACCCTTAAAAGCAATCAAAAAAAATGATAAAAAATAATAATAATAAAAAAATTACAGTTATAGAAATTGGAAATTGGCCTGAATGCAATTGATCAAAAGTTGTTCAGAATAATCAACATTACCCACATAAAAATACAGTCCAAAATAACACACAGAAATAAGGCAAAGAAAAATCAAGAATTGCAAAACAAAAATTAATTAAAAAATGAGAATTAGCAAACCTGAATTTAATCCAAATTAAAGCAATTTCCAAACGTATTACAGAATTGCAACAGCGTAGATTACTCCGAACATCACATCTTCTGAGAGAAATTAAAAAACACAGATTGAAACCGACATTGAATGACTGATTAAAGCTATGAATTTTTGTTACTAAAATGCCGAATAATGAGTCAAATATAAAGGTTAAAACTGAAAAGTACAGGGGCAGCCGCCAATGACAAACCCTAGTACCTAGATTAAGAAGAAGATTTCAAATGGAAATCAAGGTTTGGTCCAAGAGAAAAGCCCTATTAATTGCTAAACTCAAACAGTGCCTTAAACCGCTAAATTACCAAAAATAAATATGCGATTATCTTCCAAAATTGTGTAATCAGTGGGACCAGTTTATTTAAATTTAGATCTTACCAAATATGTGTATAAATTAGCCCTCTATCCATGCACTAATTATTAAAAAAAAAATGAATTGAAAATAAGGAGAATTAAATCTAAATGGACGGAAATTGTATGATACGAGGTATTTATTTTTAGCACTGTTCTGTACAATATTAATTTTGGAACTTTTAAGATTCTTTACGGATTCAAATATCACTTTCGATGCTTCCTCAGGTTTACGAATTTGGCCCACCTTAAGGATCTCATACTCCCACCTTGTAATGGTACAAGGACCCACCATAATACCGACAGAGATTTAACTCTCGTTTGGCCCTCATTATTTGGATTTATAATGAGGAGAATAGTATTTTTTTTTTTTTTAGATTAATGGTTGTAAAAGAATTAAAAAATTTCGATTTACATGAAATATTATTTTATTGAAGATTGTATAGTTGAAAATATGATAGAGAAAAATTTAAATTAAATTGATGAGTATTAAAGAGGGCTAAACTGGGGACTTATATAAGACATGGTATATCTTACAAGGGATTTCAGGTCGAGTAGATGGATAATTTAGTAATTTACAAGGACGTGTTTGGGTATGCTTATAAGTATTTATAAATATTAAGGTCTTTTATTTTTATTTATTTATTTATTTTTATTTTTTTTGGTGGCTAAAAATATATAAATTGTTTATCTCAAGCGATAACTATGGTTCCGAACATGTTTGGAAATAGGCTCATGACTTAGCCCACAAAATTTTGTGGGTTGAAATGAGTCCCATAAGTAAGGTTTATATATTTCTTATTTGAGTTATGCTACATTTATAAAGGGGATTGACAAAGTTGAAAGACAAAATCACATACATACCAATCATTTCAAAAACAGATTTTTAAATCACTTGAAATCAATGACCTAAATTTTGTCAACACACTTTGTAACTCAACTTTTGTAATCCAACTTTGTACAAGTAGCTTTATTATTCTTATTTTTGGTGAGACTCACTCTCATTATCTATTTAACAAAGCATGTATGTGGTCTCTTCTGACTTGTGTATTTAACAAGTATGGAAAATACCTAAAAGTACTTTGGCCCGTAAAGTGTGTGGATAAAAAAAAAGTCATTTTAAGTATTATCACTCATATTTGTTTATGAGGTGTGAAGTCTACTTGTCCACACATCTTGTCGTGGAATCGAAATGCTAAGGTTCATTTGTTTCAAAACGTTTAAGAATACCATGAAGGAAGCAAAGAATTTTTGCAAAACAGTGCAAAAACATTTATCTTCCTTAACCATCATCTCCATGAACGATCGAAAATTGAACATCTCTATGTGAAGGATCCATAAGCCCTTTGGAAAATTTTGAAAGAGAAGTTTGACCATCAAGTAAATTGTGGTTCTCCCTAAAGTTCGTTACAAGCATATGTATCTGCTATTTTAGTACTTTAAGATTGTTGTTGAGTATAATTTATTTAACTTTGTGGATAACAAATTACATATCTTATTTGTTCAACACAAATAAGGACTTTAAGACTATTGGTGAGTATAACTCTAAGGTTTATTTGTCTCAAAAGGTTTAAAAATTAGTCATAACTCATCATATTTGCTAATTGAACAAAATAAGGAGTTGCTACTGAAGAATCATAAGTCTCATTCAAGTTACCCAACACCATTTCCTAGCAAACGCAACCTCAATCTATGGACACGAACGCGAAAATGAACATAGACACAGACGAAGTTATCAACGAAGCATTGGACTAAACTATCGGCAATAAGATAATAATTTCAAGAAGTATAAAGCAAACCACCAACGGTGAAATATAACCAGTGAAAATGGGGACAACTAATCAAAAATGAGGACAAAGATTTTTGTTATATATATATGGAATGAAATGACATTATTGATAGGCCTATAAACAACAAAATACCTTGTGAAATTCTGAAATATCTGCTGTGCTTGAGATCGCTACCCCTATATTTTTCTGCAAAGTACACTTTGGTCCTAGTTTTCTCTTCTTCTTCTTTTTTTCAACCTGCATCCTTTCTTCTTTGAAATCTTGGTCCTTATCTTTAAGTCAGTCTAATTTTGTCATCAACATTCCTCAATTGTCCATAATCGATCTGATGTCAAGTTCCAAGAGTTTGCAATTAAGTTCCTAAACTCTCCAAAAGTCGGATTTAGCTCTAGAAACTTATTAATCATTTTCAATTGATCCCATAAGTCTTTTAATTGATAAATCGTAACCCAATTGATCATCAAGCACTCTGAATCAACTCCAATTTCACCTTTTTCATGTCAATTGCATTTTAGTGCCTCCACGGTGGAATTTTACCTACACTTAATATATTTACACCTAAATTAGGCAGATGTCCACTCAATTAATCATAAACGAGTAAGTAAAGAAGCTCTAGATAACTTTATAAGATGCACTTATCAATTGCAATGATGCAAGTCATTCAAGTCACCGCATGGCCAACTTTATGAAGCTACATGTTCTACCTAAAAGTTTGAAGCAAGGCCTGTTTCAATGAAGGCCACACAACAATTTGACAAATATTTGGATATTTTTTCATCTTAATGACTGATGGTGCAACAATAGGACAATAGGTTCGGGACCAAAGCTGAAATTTTCCTTAATTATTCATCACATTGAAGAGAAAAATCTTGTCTTGATAATGTTACATAACTTTCAAATTTAAATACATGTTCATACATTCGTCCAAAATTTATCACTTCCAAAGGGGGAAGGTTGGGGATTGATTCGAGTGGAGAAGAGAAAAAAGTAGCATCCACTTAACATTCTCCCTCTCAACACCTTCTCATCGAAACAACTTTCATGCTTCCAACCAAAAAATCATCAAAAACAAGGCTTAGTTTGTAGTTATTTAATCGTGTGGTTTTTCCGGCCCTGCTTGCATTTTCGCTCCCTCGAGAGCTAAAATAAGATCCCGCAAACAACTTTCTGCATCAACTGGTAAAGTCTTTGGCATTAAAATTTCTGCAACATCTGCTGGAGTAATCTTGATTTCCTCGAGGAAACTACAAATTCTCGAAAACAAAGAGTGCGACTCCAAATTAAGATAGTTCCTTGCCAAAACCTTAAAAGCTTCAAAAGTGCAATATGACAACTCGATGTGCTTGTCCATTCGTCCTCTCCGAATAAGGGCAGGATCCAATTTATCCACATAATTGGTAGTAAATACAATCAATCTTTCTCCCCCACAAGCTGACCAGAGCCCATCTATGAAATTCAGAAGCCCGGAAAGTGTAACCTTACTATTTCTTGATTCTGATTCGTCCTTTGTGAATTTCTGCCCAGGATCGTTTTCTTCTATATCTTTCTTCTCCCTTTTCTTCGCCCTTTGTCCGGTCAGGTCTACTGAACAATCAATATCCTCAATCACAATAATCGACTTGCTAGATGTCGCGATCAGTAATTTCTTCAATTCTGTATTGTCTTTCACTGCTGTTAATTCAAGATCATAAATGTCATAACTTAGTAGATTAGCCATGGCAGCAACTGTAGTGGATTTACCAGTCCCTGGTGGACCGTAAAGAAGATAACCGCGTTTCCAGGCCCGGCCAATTGTTGAATAAAATTCTTCAGCCTTGCTAAATGTAATCAAATCATTAACAAATTCCTCCTTTCTTTCGGGCTCCATTGCTAATGTCTGGAAATTTGCAGGATGCTCAAATGGTACAAAACTCCAGGAGGATCCACTGTTTGTGTACAGTTTTCGCTGCCGGTTTTTCACCTTTATCGCCTTCCCTTCCTTCAGTACATGATTCAAGTACGATCCAGTGATTAAGATTCTATGCTTTTTATGGAATTTCAGCTTGAAATATCTCTTTTCATCAGTCGGAACAGGCTGGAAAGAAAAAGTCTGTGTCTTGGAAACGTTCTTTCCAGAAGCCCACCAGACTTTTACTCCTTGAAATTCATCAGCCACTTCTTCATTATCATCCATGGTAAGAACCAGAGATTGGCCATTCTTGATTATGTCCGCCCTAAGCCGCCGTGCCTGAGCGGAGGAACTGGAGCTGAGGTAGGTCTCGATGGCGGCAAAAGCTTCGCTTCGCATGAATCGTTCGCCGGTGAATTCATTGAAGGTTATTTGGATGTAAGGATAAAGAAAACTGAAAATTTTCTGGAAATACGATTCAACAGAAGTTCGAAGATGAGTTGGGAAATATTGTTGAAAAATTGCTCGAACAAACATGAAAGTAGCTATTAAGGATCCCAGTTGAGCAAACATTTCTCCAATCCTCGTTTTCTGTAAATTTTCGACAAAATCTATCTTATATAAGCTTCGTTTCTTAAACGCAACTCAATATTGTCGGTCTCTTTATTGTCATACCGTGTGTGTTTTTGTAACCACTTGTTTATAATATCTAATGTGAATACTTTCGAATTAAGGATTCCTATATTTCTTTAGAGAATTTAGTAATATGCAACAAATTAGACACGGAACTCATTTCTGAAGCCAATTTTATTGAATTGTGTGCAATCTATGTTACTAAGCCCCGTTTGGTACCCATTTTTTTTCAAAATGCATTTTACTCTCTCTTTTTTTCAAGCACACATTCTTTATTAAAATAATATTACGCGTAAATAAAAAAAATTCTTTATTTTTCAACAACACATTTTCCATCAATTTACTATTTAAAAATACATTTTTATATAAAAATGTCTCTCAAACACCCTCTAAATATCTATCTACAATATATTAAAAGTGCAGATGGTATAGAAACTTTTAAATACCAAATTTATACCCCTACATATTTAACTATGTGCCCACTATATCCTCATAATTGGAATATCAATTTAATTAATATTTATCATTTGGTTTAGAATTAATATAATATAAGGAGTGAAATATTTAATTGATATTTATCGTTTTAGATCAAAGCGAAACTAACATTCAATTATATCAATAAAATAAAAAATAAAATAAAATAAAAATTATTGACTTACCATTCAATTGACCATTTTGTTCTTACCAGAGACGGATATAGGGGGAGGCTGGGCTGGGCTGTAGCCCCCCCTCCCCCCACACTTAGGCCCAAGAGCTTTTTTTTAAGGTAAAAAATCAGTTTTTTATGTGTAAAAAAATTTTTTCCCGGTAATAATACGATTTGAAATTTTGTAACCCGGTCTTGGATCCAATCCTGGATCCGTCTCTGATTCTTACAATTTTTATTTTCCACCAATGAATCAATTTTTAATTTTCATAAACAAAACCATTATTAAACTTCATGATTTACATTATAATTGATGCAATGAGTTTTTATTTTTCATCAACAAAGCAATTTTTAATCTTTATGCTTTATATATAATTCATCCATTAAGTTAACTTTTTAATTGAGGTTACAAATATTTTAAAGGTTGCATTAGTATATTAATGATGACATTCAATTAATAAAAAAGAAATTTAATGACTAACATTCAATTGATTTTTTTTCTTTACAATTTTTAATTTCATCAACAAAGCCCTTATTACCAATTTAATTATTATTTATCATTTGATTTAGAGTTAATATAAATGGTGAAATATTTAATTGATAATTATCATTTGGGTTGGAATTAATATAAAATGTACAACTGACATTCAATTATTAAAAATAATAATAATAATAATCAACAGAAATTTAATTACTTATTATTCAATTGAGTATTTTGTTCTTACAATTTTTATTTTCTATCAACAAAGCAATTTTTTTTTTATCAACCAAACCCTATTAATCTTCATGATTTACATTATAATTCATCCATTGAGTTTTTATTTTTCATCAACAAATCCCCTATTAATCTTCACGATTTACATTATAATCCATCCATAAGGTTATTATATAATTGAGGTTACAAAATTGAAATGTTGCATTAATATATTAATGAGTAACAAATGTGCTAAAGGTTACGTTAATATATTAATTGGGATATTCGATCACTAAAAAAAAAATATTGCATACAAAGAAATATTATTGTAATCATATCATTACATTTTAGTTTATTCAACATTTTCACATTATATACATAATTTCATAAAACATTACACACACACACACACACACACACATATACTCAATTGTAATTTCCCCTTTAACAATATCAATTAACTATATTATTTCAAAAAATCGTATTAGTAATTCAAAAACGGTTCGTATATCATTCATCGATATATAATACGTGCAACGCACGTGCTTACTACTAGTCTCCAATAAATAATAGATGTACTTATCTTTCAAACTTGAATTGGACATTAATACTCAAAATAATTTGGAATAAGAATTTGATCAATGAAATTTTTCCCTATTATCCATTGGCATCAGTGGATATCAAACTATTGGAAAATACCCAACCCGCAAAATGATAAAGTGAATTGAGGGAATGGTTAAAATATAATTCACATGGGGTGACCCGACCTAATTCGACCTGCAAAATAATAAAGCGAATTGAGGGAGATTCAAACCCATAACTTCCCTTAGTATGAAAAATCACACATAAATGGAAAATGCCTATAACCTGATATTTGGCATGGAAACTTCTATTCTGATCGGAACTGGGACCATTGAATAACAAGAAAATACAGATTTTGAAGTTTGGAATGTAATGTGATTCAATTAAAAAACAAAAAAAACAAAAAATCCTGAAATTCATCATTTAAAGTAAAAATTCTTGACCCTAACTTTATATTCAAGCATTCTGCGAATTCTTGACCGAACTACTAGAATTCAAAATAATCACAAGCTACATTATGTTAGTTTTTTATCTTTCTGGTTTAGTGGTTAGTTACCACTATGTCTGTAAATACCTTTTCTTTTGGGTTTTATTATTTGCTGATTTGGTCTTCATAGTACGTTCCAGGAATTGTTAGATGTGGGCTATTTTTATGTTGGTTCAGTTATGTCTATTTGCTTTGTGAGGCTATATAATAGCTAAGTTTGGTATTCAATAAAACAAGTTGATTTCCATCAATTTCTTTTGCACTCATTAATCAGCTTCTATTTTCTAACATTTTGGTATCAGAGCCCCATCACAAGGGCCTGATTATTTAGAAGCAGCAGTCTTCCTTGAACAATGACGACAAAGACTTCATTTGTCCAACCAGTTGTTCCGAAGTTTGATGGCTACTATGATCATAGGGCAATGCTCATGGAAAACTTCTTGTGTTCAAAGGAGTATTGGGGACTTGTGGAGAATGGAGTTCCTGCAGTGGCTGAAGGTGCCGTTCTCACAGATGCGCAGAGGAAGCACATTGAAGACCAATAGTTAAAGGATTTGAAGTCAAAGAACTATCTATTTCAGGTATTAGATCGTTCTATCCTAGTGACAATTCCAAACAAAAGGACTCCAAAGGATATTTGGGATTCTATGAAGCAAAAACATCAGGCTACCACACGAGTGAAGCATGGAAATTTATAAGCTCTAAGGAAAGAATTCAATGTTTCTTCACATGAAGCCGGGAGAAGCTGTGAACGAATATTTCTCTTGTACTCTTGCCATTGTCAACAAAATGAAAGCTAATGGTGAGGATAAGGGAAATATTGCTATTATTGAAAAGATTTTACGATCTATGACTTTCGAATTTGATTATATTGTTTGTTCCATTGAAGAATCTAACGATTTAGACACTTTAACCATCTATAAGTTGTAGAGTAGTCTTACTGTACATGAACAACGCATGAACTCTCATGTGTTAGAAGCAGAACAGGCTTTGAAAGTTACTCATGGAGATACTACTGTTGTTGAAAAGATTTTAAGATCTATGACTCCCAAATTTGATTATGTTGTTTGTTCCATTGTAGAATCTAAAGATTTAGACACTTTAACCATCGATGAGTTGAAGAGTAGTCTTATTGTACATGAACAACGCATGAACTCTCATGTGCTAGAAGTAGAACAGGCTTTGAAAGTTACTCATGGAGTGATCTCCATGAGCAGAGGACGTGGTCGTGGAAATTATAAAAGAAGAGGAAGAGGGCGCAAAAGAGATCTTTTGATAAGGGCACAGTGGAGTGCTATAATTGTCACAAGCTAGGAAATTTTGCATGGGAATGTCCAAGCTGAGAGACAGAGGCAAACTATATAGAGAATCAAGAGGAGATGTTGTTAATGGCATATGTAGATCTCAACAAAACTAGCAGTTGAGAAGATACGTGGTTTCTTGACTCTAGATGCAGCAATCATATGTGCGGAAGGAAGGATTATTTGTCAGACTTTGATGAAACCTTTCGAGATTCAGTGAAGCTTGGGAACAACATAAGCATGTCTGTATTAGGAAAGGGGAATGTAAGGCTGAAAGTGAATGAAATGATAGAGATTATAACATGAGTCTTCTATGTCCCTGAGTTGAAGAATAACTTGCTAATTATTGGTCAATTACAAGAAAAAGGGCTTACCATTCTGTTTCAACATGACAAGTGCAAGGTGTTTCATTCACAGAAAGGAGTGATTATGGATACCAACATGTCTTCAAATCGCATGTTTGTGTTGCATGCTCTATCCCAGCCTATTTCATCTACTTGTTTTAACTCAGTCACAGAAGACATTTTGCAGCTTTGGCATTGTCGATATGGCCACTTGAGTTTTCAAGGTTTAAAGACTCTTCAACAAAGGAAGATGGTGAATGGATTACCATAATTTTAGCCTCCCTATAAACTATGCAAAGATTGTTTGGTGGGAAAACAACATAGGTTTTCAATTCCAAAGAAAAGCAACTGGAGAGCTGCTGAAATTCTACAGTTGGTACATGCAGACATCTGTGGACCAATCAATCCAATCTCAAATGTAGCAAGAAACAAAAGACCACCTGTTTGGATGCAATTATGAGAAAGGGGAAGGACTTTCTGAGGAAGAGCATGAAGTTCAATTTGCTATGCTTACAACTGACGATCCAATTCACTTTGAAGAAGCTATTAAAAGTGAGAAATGGAGAACAGCTATGGATGTAGAAATGGAAGTGATAAAGAAAAATGGCACATGGGAATTGACAGATTTACCTAAGGGAGGAAAAACAATTGGAGTAAAGTGGGTTTACAAGACTAAGTCTAATGAAAATGAAGAAGTAGAAAAGCATAAAGCTTGACTTGTGGCGAAGGGCTACACACAGCAACATGGAGTAGATTATACTAAGGTTTTTGCACCTGTGGCGCGTATGGAAACAATTCGGTTGGTAGTTGCACTTGCAGCTCAAAGATGGTGGTCCATTTATCAGTTAGATGTGAAATCAGCATTCTTACATGGAGAGTTGAATCAAGAAATTTTTGTTGAGCAGCCTTGTGGTTATGTGCAAAAAGAAAATGAGCAAAAGGTTTATAAGCTAAAAAAGGCACTCTATGGTTGAAGCAAGCACCCCGTGCTTGGTATAGTCGCATAGAAGCATATTTCATGAAGTCAATCTTTGAAAAATGTGACTATGAGCATACCTTGTTCATCAAATTAACAAGGAAGGTAAAATTTTGATCGTTAGTTTATATGTTGATGATCTAATATTTACCTGAAATGATGAATTAATGTTTGCTGAGCTTAAACATTCCATGAAGCATGAATTTAATATGATTGATCTTGGTAAGCTGAGATATTTTCTTGGTCTTCAAGTCTTGCAAAAATCTGATGGTATTTTCATAAGTCAGAAAAAGTATGCTTTAGAGGTACTTAACAGATTCAAAATGGCTAAAAGTAACTCTGTCTTCAATCCCATTGTTCCTAGTTGTAAGCTTGTGAAACATGAAGGGAGAGTTAAGGTAGATAAGACTTACTACAAACAAGTAGTAGGAAGTCTCATGTACCTCACAGCTACTCGACTAAATTTAATGTTTGTAGTGAGTCTCATTAGTAGGTATATGGAGAATCCTACTGAGCTACATTTGCAGGCAGCAAAAAGGGTGCTACGGTATCTGAGAGGAACAATTGATTTTGGGATTTTCTATACGAAGGGAGGAGATGATGAACTTGTTGCTTACACTGACAATGATTATGCTAGGGATTTGGAAGATAGAAAGAGCACCTCAGGTTATGTTTTTTTTGTTTTTTTATTAAGTTTAGGGGCAATTTCTTGGTCATCAAAAAAGCAACCAGTAGTGAGTTTATCTACCACAAAGGCAAAATTCATTGCAGCAACTTCATGTACATGTCAGGCTGTATGGTTAAAGAAGGTGTTGGGAAAGCTAGATCAGAATCAAAGCAGGTCGTGTGTTATTCAATGTGACAGTAGCTCAGCAATCAAACTTTCGAAGAATCTAGTGATGCATGGTTAAAGTAAGCATATAGATGTGCGTTTTCATTTTCTTCGAAATCTTACAAAGGATGGTATTGTGGAATTAGTATATTTGTGATACACAAGAGCAATTAGCTGATATGATGACCAAGCCACTCAAGTTGAATACCTTTTGTCAAGCTGCGAGGACAATTGGGAGTTTGCTCTGAAACTGATGTAAACTGAGCTTGTAGTGTTCAGTTTAAGGGAGGAAATGTTAGTTATTTATCTTTCTGGTTTAGTGGTTAGTTACCAATATGTCTGTAAATACATTTTCTTTTGGGTTCTGTTATTTGCTGATTTGGTCTTCACAGTACGTTTTAGGAATTGTTAGATGTGGGCTATTTTTACGTTGGCTCAGCTATGTCTATTTGCTTTGTGAGGCTATATAGTTTGGTATTCAATAAAACCAGTTGATTTCCTCCAGTTTCTTCTGCACTCATTATTCAGCTTCTATTTTCTAACACGTTATTTATAGTTTTCCTCATAAAAGCTATTCTATGGGGATTCCATGAAACTCGTTCAGTTTCCATCATTAAAAAACAAAAAATGTCGATGCTATGAAACTCATCCAGTTCGACTTCACATTGTTCGATGTAAAAGGCACTCTCAACTTCGGAACTAAAATTTGTTATGTATTAGAGTTTTAACTTTCGTAAATTCGACATGGACAAACATTTCCAAAATTCGTAATTCATCGATTTGCTCAAATTCCAAGGGAATCAACTTAGTAAAGGAAAAGAGATTATGAATTTATTCCTATGACTCTGTCATACTCTCATGACTTCTAGATTCACAGTTATAAGTGAAGCCCTATTATCCCATTTACGATTAGTAATTGATCGATAGTATCATCAATATTATTATAAGCGTATACAAATCCACTATATAATTACAAAAGACTCTTGGTAATTATCGATAGTATCATCAATATTATTATAAGTAATTCTTGACAAAAGTGTATCGATCATAAATGACAACATTGATGCCAATAATTTGTGAATAAAATTAATTTTTGACTTAATTTAATATAGAATTTAGATTTTAATTCCTACCAAACAGTAATTATATGTTTAGATATGACACTTGGGGTGTATTTAATTGTAAGCATGGAATTTACACAAAAAGAAAATAAATTTTATGCAATTCATTTACATGGAAATTGTCAATCAAATGTGTTATATTGATTTTATTTTCAATTTAGAAAAATATTATATTTGTTCATTTTTTATTAGCAGGTAGATGGAAGAGAGAGAGGGAATAGACGAGAGAAAAAAAGAAAGAGTAAGTTACCTAAAAAATAAAACTTATTCTCCTTAAAGAATTTTTTTCAAAGAAAATATGATCACGTAACTAAAAGTAGAAAAATATTTTTCATGAAAAAAAAAATCAATCAAAAGCACAAAAGGGGGAATAAAACATTTTGCCCTTATTTGAGACCATTATCTCAAAATTTATTCTTTTTTAAATTTATTTTTTATTATATATTCTCTCAATAAAATAATTTAACCCCTGAACCCAAATTTTTTTTTCCCCTAATTTTTAAGCACATGTCACAAAATTTATTTTTTTTTAACAAAATGAGCTCAATGACCTCCTTTTATTGTAATATTCATTTTATGGTGTCAATATGACAATATCGACGAACCAGCAATGGACACATCATCAATCAGACCCACATATGACAAACTTTTCCACGTGTAAACACCGCATTGGTCTCGTTCCGAGATCGAGATCCCTATAATAAGTACCTGGACAGAGAGAGAAACAACGAAACCTGCAACAATGGGAAATAGGAGGCGACCTTCAGCAACGAACACCACAACGGAAAAACCTGACCCGGATAAAACCAATCCCGAACCCGCAAAGCCAAACCCTCCTATCTGGCCTGCAAAAATCCACACAATCCTCAAATTCTTTTCTATTTTCGCAATCCCGTATTTTTACTTGCTCTTCTCTCACTACAAAATCGAGTATGAACTGAAAAAATCGATTTTGATCAATGCATTCGTCAGCTTTTTTGGGTTTTTTATTACAGTTTCTATGATTCCTGTGGCGTCGAAGTACGTGCTGAGGAGAAATATGTTTGGATTCGATATTAACAAGAAAGGTACCCCTGAGGGATCCATTAAAGTGTAAGTTTCTATTTAATTTCGGGGTTTTAGTTCCGGATTTTCTGAATTATTAATTATTGGTATGGGATGTCATTATTAGGTTAGCTCACTTTAATATAGAGTTTTGAACTTACACTCTATTAAAATGAATATTCGGGTTATCTATAGAATTGGGGAACTCTTTATTAGAGTATCAAGTGAGCAATGAAATATTTACATCACTTAGAGCATCAGCGTTAATTAGTTTCAATAATATTTTTGGCGAATTTTCGCCAATTACTACAAAATCGAAGGGTTTATTTATTTATTTATTTATTTAACACTGCTTCCTCAAGTTTGATATTTATATAAACAATCGAGTTGGCACTACATCTATTAAATTTGTATCACTTTTTGTTTCTGTGGAATGGGATGAAAGTCTGACGGATATGTATTTTTCCATTTAGAACTCTATAAACTGTGGTTATGAGGGCAGAATCAAAATTAATCAACCAGGGGCTTGCAATTTTTTTTAATAAGACTTTGAATGTATGATGGAAATGAAAATTGGGTACGGTGAGCCTTACCTTAAATATGAATATTTAGTACAATAAATGTCATCTTTAGCTAACTATTTAAGTCCATCGTTTGATGGCCTTTCATTTCAAGATATGTATTGCATAGTTAGTTGTGAGTTATTCAAAGTGATACCAAGAACCTGTCTCGATAATCGAGAAATATAGCCCGAAAATAAGCCAAAAGAGGTGACGACCATTTATTGAAGCCATTTCGTGCAGCCATTTTTAACTCCTATTGCAACCTCATCAATTAGTGGTTATGCAAATTGAAAGGTGCATTACAAAAGTACACCTTGAGTACTTCAAAATGGTATCAAGAATTTTTCTTCACGGTCGAGAATTATAATAAAGGATTGACCCGCAAACTGGCTCAATGAAACAGCCAAGCTGGAAACTTTTCTTTGATTGTTTTGGGTGTTGGGTACGCTAGAGCCCACTCTTCCTACCCGTGGATCCAGCCCTAGGTAATTTTCAGGTGAATTTGAGAAAAGCTTAGAATTTTTTTGTCACATAAATTTGCATGAAACTAAGCATGCAAATAGCCTTAATTTATGATTGGTGGATTTGCATTTGATAAGAATAGTACCCAGATGTAGATTTTGATTAACCTTGGTATTAATATATTCTATGCAGGCCTGAATCATTAGGCATTGTTGTAGGGACAGTATTTCTAGTCGTGGCGATATTGTTTCAATATTTTAACTTCACAGCAGATTCAAATGTAAGTACATTTGCCTTTTTGCATCTCTTGTAATAGTTCAATTTTCAAGTGTGATAAATCCTTGCTACTTAAACTTCTACAGCATTTTTGCATCAAGAATGCTCCCTGCCTCCTATTGTTTCCTTAATAGTCAATAAATGCATGATTTGTATTATTTTAAATGTTTTTTTATGGGTCTTCCTATCACCTACAAACAATAAAATGTTTCACAGATAATGTATGGTGGCCTGCTCATTTGTTACAAAGACCAATTTAAAATGTGAGAGCACTTCTTGGAACTTCTTGGGGTATTAGTTGAATAGTTTTTGAGGCGTGAAGAAACTCCTGTGGGGAGAAATGTGTGTATATTATCTTAGATCATTACAAAATCCAAAAAGAACTATAATGGTATGGTAAGGCAATATCAATGATTTGCAGTATAATTGCATGATTTGGTAATTGTAGTTACTTGTTATTGTTGCTTGTGGCAATTGTCATACTGAACCAGAAACAATGCTAAGTTTCGACATTGTGGATTTTCCTACGTTAGATATATTAATTTCTGGTAAGGAATAACATTATCAATGGAAGCAAAGTTGTGAGAGAATGCTCCAGAATCATATGTTAAGATTTGATAGAAAAGTTGAAGTGATGGATGGGGCAAGATTTAGAATGTTATATTTTTTTATTGGTAAATTAATAATCGACTCATGATACAGTTTGACGTAGTTACAGTTCTTCAATTGGTGAGTGATAATACTGTGGAATGACCTGTGCTAATTGACCAAATAGAAGAAATTTTACGAAATTAGGGAATATACATGTTAGTGAAGAATGGGAAAGGAAATTTTACGAATAATATTAGGCATCCAATGAGGACTCAACGTCATCTAAATGGTTTTGAATAACATTTAAGTACATGCTATCAGCTTTCACATTCTATAGTGTTATTCTCCTCTCTTTGTTTGTTCTCTTTCACTTTTTTTATCTGTTTCAAAATTCTGTTCACCTATGATTTTCCATTTGATTTTTTGAGCTTTCCTATCTTCTTGTAGTCAAGGTCTAACTCTTTTAACATTTTTGTTGAGAAGTGGTTAGTTGAATACAATGCTGCACTAGCATCAATCTGCTTCATGATTCTGCTTGGATTTGTTGATGATGTCCTTGATGTGCCTTGGAGAGTGTGAGTTTTATTAATATAGAAGTCCCCTGTTTTTCTTGTTTGTTTTCAGAATTACTTATGTGATGGATAATTAATTACTTAAATGTAACTTTGAAGACAGGAAACTAGTGTTGCCATCTATAGCAGCTCTTCCATTGTTAATGGCCTATGCTGGGCACACAACTATCAGTATTCCAAAGCCTCTTGTTCCATACATTGGATTAGACATTCTAGATTTAGGTACTTTATTGTCTTACAAATTATCCGTGAGAAGAACTTGTCTCTCTATCTTTCTTTTAAATTTTTCCAGTTCCCTAAGTAACGTCTTCATATGAACAGGATGGATATATAAACTCTACATGGGACTCTTGGCTGTGTTTTGCACAAATTCAATCAATATTCATGCTGGCATCAACGGCCTTGAAGTTGGGCAAACAGTTATTATTGCTTGTGCTGTAAGTTAGAAATCGTCTGGACATCGATGTGAATCTTCATTATTCACTTACTAAATATGACATAATTATAACTGCAGATTTTGATACATAATGTCATGCAAATTGGGGCATCAAATGATCCTGAATACAAACAAGCACATGCATTCTCCATTTACCTTGTTCAACCCTTGCTCGCCACTTCTTTAGCTTTACTTTCTTACAATTGGTAATCATATTGTGGTTCTTTTTAACCAGTACAAGAACTCTCACTGCATGCTAACAGTTATATTTCTGTTCATGTTTCTTATATAGGTATCCTTCATCTGTTTTTGTTGGTGACACGTACACATACTTTGCTGGAATGACTATGGCAGTAGTCGGTATTTTAGGCCATTATAGGTGTGTTTCTTCAGTTCCCAGTCCATCATTGCTTGGCATCAATAGACAATTTAAATTACATCTTAGCATGTATATGTTTAACAAATGGGAGTCATATAACAACTTGCGAAATTTGATGATAGGACATGCTCTATAAGAGAATGATTAAGACATTACTTTTACTAAATTTGATTGAAATCATGCTGGAATTTTTATGCTTATTAGTTGTCTAAATCACATTAAATATAGGCTTAAGCTACTTTGAACTAAAATTGAAGCATTTGCTTCTTAGTTTGACTTGTTTTGATTGTCATTGGCAATCAGCGTCACAGCATCTTGACCATGCAAATCTTAGAAGACATTTTTTTCCCAGTTATGGATTCAAGAGATGAGAAATATGTCTATTTTGCTCACACTAGTTGTTTATCTAGAATTTGTTGTCTTTTTAGATGATTAGATGGAACGTGGAAATTTCCAAAGTGAGAAAGAGAAATGATACATGTTGATTGGTCATACATACTGAGCCCAGAAGTTTAGTCATTGTGCTGTTATACCCTCTGATCGACTCAATTGCAAACTCATTAAATTAAAGCCCCATTGATTAGAAGTTCATTCTTAGCCCTGAGATATGTTTTAGATAGATTTTTGAATTTTATTTTATTTCATTTTTTTTTCCAGTGACTTTTCTGTAATATGATTGATTTTATCACATAAATCACCAATTAAATCCTGATTGGATGGCGACAAGATAAACAGTTGTCTATCTTTGCATACCTTAAATGGTTATGCATTAAACTAAGACCTGGTCTTATTCATTTAGTTCTATTTTTATACTTTTTTCAGTGAGACACTTATGATATTCTTCCTTCCTCAAATTTTGAACTTCTTGCTCTCACTTCCTCAGGTATCTCTCTCCCACTCTAGTGTGTTTGCTCTCACACGCGCACACCTACACACACATTCACAGGCACACATGCAAATTCATTTGAACAAACGATGGAGGCATAGAATTAATTATTTTTTTCCTCTTCATTCTTTCAGCTAGCTGGTATTATACCTTGTCCACGGCATCGACTGCCGAGGTACATTGATTAGTGTGCTTTCCTGGCTACCTGACGTTCAGAAATAATATCCTCGTATAATAATAAGTTTGTCTTTGAGCTATCAGGTTCGATCCTCAGACTGGCCTGCTTACAGGGACAAATGATGGGACTCTCGTTAACTTATTTTTAAGACAATTTGGTCGGAAGTCAGAGAAAACACTCTGCATTCTATTGCTAATTTTCCAGGTAACATTCTTATTATTATCCTCGAGGTGCTGAACTGCTGTTTCAATTTTTCTTTTTTCCTTTCTCTCTTGGAGATCTCAAGACATTCATCGTGATTCTTTTAGAAGTCTTGCTGATATCACGTTTGGCTAAGCTTAAAAAAGCAAAAATTGAAGCAACTTTTTACAACCCTCCACTTTTAAGCAAAAAGATTACTATCAAAATATAATTTACTTTACTGATAAGTGATAAACATTATTTATGTATTCTAGAACTTGTTTACTTGTAAGTACACTTTTTAAGCTTCGCATAACATACTCATAGTCTTGATATACATGGTTGAAGTATCATTCTTCAGGCATATGCTTTGACCTGAATATCGATTATATGTTACTTCCAAATAAAAACCCTATTGAAAATATGGGAGTTATTTCTTATGTGTCACAGGCCATTTGTTGCGGATTCTGTTTTTTTCTACGGTGGATCCTCACGGGTTGGTACAAATGAAGGATCAAGTGTTAGTGTCGATGTTGGAGAAAAGTTGCTGATGTGTCAGCGTGCAAGGGTGTTGTCTGATAAACTCGTCTACTCTAGGAGTAGGTTAACATTAACCAAGTATTGAGTTTTCGTTGATGGAGACACGAATAGAAGTAGCGTTGAGTTGAGTTGATTCTGTGCATTCAGAATGATAGTAGATTTTGTCAATTATTCATACTATTATTGCATAATTTCTTCTTTTGTATTGATTTTCTTTTTCTTTGCAGTATCAATATTTGTGAAAAAAATAAAAAAAAGGTTCACATGTTATTAATATAAACCTGAATATAGATAAAGCATTAACATGATAGACAATCCAACTTTAATAAAACCACCAATTAAACCGTTCTTTCATGATTACAAGCAAAAAGAAGTTAAAATCTTAGTGTTCAAGAATGTGTATTGAACATGTCAAAGCCAAGGTTTTAAGATGAATAATGTGTGACAATGTGTTTTATTCGAGCATCAAGCATCACATGTATATGTGCCTGTACGAAGCATATGCATAATTATGTGTTTTACAAATTTTAATATTATATTAAATATTCTAAACTAATAAATGAAATTGAAAATGCATTCTTTGAACTTTGTAGTAAATTGAAGAATCATTTTGCTTCATTAGTCTTCAAGTAAATTGAAGCAATAATAATAATTAAAAAAAAAAAAGACTAGAACTTTCAAAATCATTATAACCTAAAGATGGACGAGTTTGATAAATATTTTTTCATAAAATAAAAAATTTGGGGAGAAAAAGGTCCCTCAAAGTTCTGATTAGGTAAATAATACAAAAATAAAAAATGTACCTTCAAATTTATGCAACTCAATGAAGATCTCAACAGTAAAATTAGAGGAAGATTGAAGAAGGCGGCAACTCGGACTGAATGTAGATTGCAACTCAATGAACAAAATGTTTTGATTTTTGTTTTTTTAAACTTCAAGACCAAACAGGTTGCTGTATGTAATTCATGGGCTTGGGTGATTTGGGTTAATCTGATGTTTGTTGGACTCAATTTGATTTTTTAAATTATAAAAATTGATTGGACTTTGCTAGCTTGTTTGGACAATTTTTACTAAAAATGTGTGCATATTTTGATGTTCAATTGCACATACGCAGTCAATCAAAGAGATTGACCGTATTATCACGCGCATACCCCATATACGAGACGTTTTGAAAACGTCCTATCCATATGCAAAGTATATGCATGCATTTTAGAACATTGATTCAAGCTAGATAGTGGTGTAAAACTTCAAATTGTAAGACTACACCAATAACGTTCCATTTTACTTCTGTAATCTTCCTAAAGAAGTTTCTACCATGAGAAGAAATCAACGTATGAGCAAATATATTAAAACGAGTACTTTTGTTCATCTAAAATCTAAATGATCATCGTTCCATATAATAAATGAGTCATTAACAGGTTGTCCAATAAACATTCAATATATTTTAAACATCGTATAATGCGACAACAATCACATAAACCAATAATCACCTGACTCTAGATGAATAGTTTTATTCATTTGATACTGGTTCTTTCGTTTCTTAGGCAGCTGGCCATCTGCTTTAAGTATCCAACTCAGATTTAATACCGACATTTCAGCCACCAAATTAAGTACATAGAGTATTGAAAAATACCTGAATTGTAGAATACTCTATCTTCAGTACACAGTAATGCAAAGAGCACTAATAATTGAACAATAACTTGTCAACTTATAATAACAGTTCCCAAACAATCAGAAAACAATTTTAGAGAAATCCATCAACAGAAACTCCAAATATACACCAGTCTTTGCTGAGTTTGATACCCACTTATACATACAAAAGACAATAGAAAGAAAGTAATCTCCCTAATCCCACATTCTTCCAACTGCTAGTGCAGCCTGTTGAGTGACTGGTCCATATAAATTCATTGAGTTCCACCCTCCTAAAGTCAGCATTTTATCAACGTTCGAGGTTTCTCAGCCCTAACTCAAAATGTCTGCGTCCGCCAATGTTTCTCCCACATATTTTGCCCTCTGTTGTCCATCGTTGTTCCACCAAATGTAGTTACCAGCGTTGAACTGCGCAGTAGGGTTCAGGTCCCATATCCTTGCACTTCATTAGCTATCCCGTAAGTTACATTTGGAGGTTCGACTCCATAACTGTAAGGGTTATGTGAGTAATTCCAACCCCATGTATTATTCCAACCACCTACCCACGGTGCATAATCAGCGTGCCCTCTTCCACCAATGAAGTTCCATGCATTATTACAAAATCCTGTCCATCCAGTTGCGGCCGCATTAGGAAATGCATTGCCCCAGTTATGCTCCCATGGATCCACATGATTTGCAGAAGTGGAATGAGTCAGTATTATCATATTCTCTTCATAGTCACCCCAGCTACTGGGAGAAAATGCTTGGTTAACAAAGAATGAATTTCCAAAAACGACGACTGGCTTATGGTCTTCATCCGAATCAAAGAACACAGGATCAACATCAAGGTCAGATGGCAATTCAAAATCATTTTCTGAATCCCATTCTATTTCATCAATGTAAAGATCAGGATCAGGCAATAGTATTTCGCAGGGAACACCATGTTTCTCTGACCAGAATCGTGTCTTAGCATTTTGAAATGCCTCTTTACCTTCAGAGTCATCCCAGTTGATCACATTATCATATAGGTGAACGAACTTCTTCTTGCGCAGAAATATTTCCCAATCTAGTGAACCGACCACTTTGCAGAATTCTTTCTCCCATATAGGTACTGCAGGCTGCCAACAACCTGCATAAATAAGTTTAAAAGATCATTTTCAGAAAAAGGCAAATAAAGAGAGAATTATAGTCAGGAAGTAGAATGATGAAAAATACAAAAAAAAAAAAAAATGAATAACAAATACTATGAGAACACCAAACATCAATATAAAACCATAAATCACCAACTTGGAAACAGAATGAGGAAGGCAAATTACATGATTATACAAATACAACACCAAATAAATCATGACCAACTCGGAGAATATAAGATAACAATGAAATACTGGAACACATAAATACTATAACTTATAAACATAGCACGCCTAGACAAAAATGAAAGTTATCAAATTCTGGCAAACAGTGGAAAAACCAGCAAATGCTGAAGTATTTTTCTTTTTTCCTTTTTTCCCTGTGAGTGATACATGAGTTCAAAATCGAGAATAATTTCACAATGAGATCACTAATAAACAAACCAATGCGATAATGAGACGATGAACTAAGTTAAAAATAAATAAATAAATTTAGAACACACATTGATGGAATTTGAACATAAGACCTCTTGGTCCTAAGGCCTCAATCTTTGTCACTTGCATTTAAAATCTTAATAGGCATTAGACAAAATAGCTGAATAATAAATCAAAATCAATATATACATAATTCAATATTAAATTTAAAATAATGAAATGATAAAATAACATGACTTGTTATATGCAGATTTTGAAACCCTCCTTTCAACTAAAATGGAAACATTCAACCTTCATGGACCCCTGCACCATATAATGGATCAATAACATAAAGCAGCACATATACTAGCATCTCAACTAAGTTAATTAACATTGTATGACATGAATATTTCTACAAATTGGAAAATTAAAATAATAAAATAAATAACAACTAAAACAAAGAAAATTTGAAGTACCCACCCCAGGTTGGCTTCTTGCACTGTGATCTTTTCCTATGAGGTTCCTGTCTGTATATATCCCAATTTTGCCCCGTACAACGCTCCATGATCACAACTCCAAAAATTCTAGAACAAATTATAAGAAAGAATGAACTAAAAAATAAAAACAAAAACCAAGATACCAAGTTAACATGGAAAATTCATTACCAAAATCAAGAGAATAAAAGATGGGCACTTCAGATTTTCCTTCAAAACTTTAGAGGAATCCAAAAAGTTGCAATCAATGCGCAGAAAACTGCAAGCTCCATAAAGGGTTTTGATTCTTCCACAGGTACTATTTCAAGAAATTACTAAAAAGGCTAGCAGTGAAATTCTTGTCAGGGAAGAGCTTAAAAGGGTGCGATCGGTGAATTGGATTTGATTTAGATAAAGAACAAGAACAAGAAGGAGGCGTTCTGTTCGTGATCACAAAAGTGAAAACTTCGAAGATGTTCAAAATCGTTAGGTGACGTTACACGCTCTGAAGGTGAGAGTAAAGAAAAGTACATATTATGCCGCAATTACTGTTTGGCTTTATTTTAAGCCCCGCTTTTGGAAGAAATTTACAGGGTTCTGTGTGTTACTCGCTATTAAGGACTAAATGAGGAGGGTGACGAGGGATTCACGCTCTTTCAGACAGCCTGCACATGAATGTGATTTACAGATTACTAGGTTTGAAGAATACGAGGTCTGGTAATTAAATAGAAACGTAAATGGCGGCAATCCTGTGAGTTCGAATTTCGTTGTAAATTTTTTTAAATTCAATACCATGTGGAAATTTTTTTATTTTTTTGCCAGAGATAAGATCCAATACAAATTTGGTGCAAGTATAAAACCCTTTCCATTTAGACTTAAATATAATGCAAAATTTGGTGTATTACATCAAATTTGTTGAAATTCTATTCATTTACTCCAAATTTTTACAACAAAATTTGAAAGTTTTTGATAAACTCATTTAATCAATTTCTCCTTCTTTCCACTTTACAACAAATGTTTGTTCCATACATATCGGTCTTTTATATTTTAGAATTAATAAATTTTAATTGAATTATAATTGTTTTCATGTGATGTTTATTTTTATTTAACATTTATTTTAAAATTCATATCAATTAATAAGTAATAATTATTTGAATAAACTTAAAATTTATTATTAAATTTTCGAATGTAATTTTATTTTAGTTGTGGTATTATATTTAATATTTTTTTTTCAATTTATTAATAAATTCAATATTTTAATTTATTACATGTAATTTTTAATTTAATGATTTTTGTAATAATATAATTTGTAAGTAAAAAATTCAATATAAACCTTGGTACAAAATTTGATGTAAAACCATTTCCAACGGTTTACACCAATCGTACAAAAATTTGAGGTAAATTTTGCATCAAATTGAAAATTATCTCCAAACGAATATACCAATAGTTGCACCAAATGAACATCATTTAATCATTCTCTTCATTTTTTTATTATTAGCAATTTATTTATTTGAAAATTATTTATTTAAACTACATAAATTACTAAATAAATAATTGTGTTAAGTTAACGAAAATACTGAACTCATTAATAAACAATTATAGAGTAACGTATGTATGTGATTGTTGTAACATTTTCGTTTTATCTTTAAATAATCGTGTTCTTTTACTTTTAAACTTCTTGAACATTTTTATTTTAATTCATTCCTTAACTATTATTGATTATAAGATTAAAATTCATACCAAATGTACATATTAACAATGATGATGATGATGATGATGATGATGATAATTTATTGTATTACAAAAAGAGACTCAAATGCCCTTAACAAAATTTTGTGCAAAGTGGAAGCAAAGAGCAAAAATGTATTTAACCATTTTTAGTATAAAATGGTGCAAATAAATATTATTACACCAAATATGGTGCAAAGAATATTTCCTTTGCACCATTTTGGAAATGGTGTAATGGGTTGAAGGAGATTTTCACAAACAAAAAAAAGAAAAAATGGTGCAATTTGGAGAATTTTGGTGGAAAAAGGATTGGTTGTAAAATTATTCATTAAAACGTCAAAAATTACAATTGTTTTTGTTCGTTCAATGTAATTTTTTTAATTTAAGTATTATGTTTAAATTTTTTTCAAATTTATTAATAAATAAAATATTTTAATTTATTACATACAATTTTTAATTTAATGATTTTTGTAATAATATAATTTGTAACTAAAAAATCCAATATAAATTTGGTGTAAATTTTGATGTAAAGCCATTTCCAATGGTTTGCACCAATCCTGTAAAAAAAAATTTGAGGTAAATTTTGCTGTATTGCACCAAATTGAAAATTATCTCCAACCAATTATATTAACAGTTGCATTAAATGAACATTGTTTAATCATTTTCTTCATTTTTTATCATTAGCAATTTATTTATTTAAACAACATAAATTACTAAATAAATAATTATGTTAAATTTACGATAATATTGAATCCATTAATAAACAATTCTGGTGTAACGTATGTATGTGGTTGTTGTGACATTTTTGTTTTATCTTTAAATAGTTGTGTTTGTTTTATTCTGAAACTTCTTGACCATTTTTATTTAAATTCATTCCATAATTATTAATCATTAAATACCCTTAACAAAATTTTGTGCAAAGTGGAAGAGAAGAACAAAATTGTATTTAACCATTTTAGTATAAAATGGTGCAAATAATATTTCGTTTCCAAAATGGTGCAATGGGTTGAAGGAGATTTTCACAAAAAAAAAAAAAAAAGGTGCAATTTGGTGAATTTTGGTGGAATGAGGATCGGTTGGAATTAGGGATGACAAAAAAAATTCACTAAACTCGATACCCGCTAGGCCACGTCCTGAGCAGGGTGGGTAATACCCTATTAATTGGATAATTGAATCGGGTATAGGACGGGAGACTTTGACCCGAGTGGGGTATGGGGCTGGGATGGGTAACAAGCCCCCATTCGCATCCATCCCATTCAATCTTTAAAATTTAAAGCTAAGCTGCTGAGGCCCAAAATGAGTTATGACTCCCTAACTGGCCTACTTACTAGATTCCAATTCCTAGGCAGTAAAGGCAATAACCTACCAGCCACGTTACCCATCATTCGGATTTGAGATTTTAGAACTTAGAATTAGAAACGATTCAGGTGTTGTGTTAGCATCATCTGTATGGTACATTTCCATACATTTTTTGTGTTTGTTGTGTCAAAAATAATAAAAAACTGTCGTGTGTTTCTCCTGTAAGAATCTGTCAAAATTTTTCTGTACTTGTAGCAAATTTGTAGAATTAAGGGTGAGGGTGCCGTGTGACCGTGTCTTCCTCACGCTATCGAAGTGCTTGTTCAGAGTCTCAATCTCTCTCGCCATCTCTCACTTCCTCTCAAGTCTCAAACCGAAGCACCCAAGGTAATTTGACAGTCTTTCAAACCCTTCATCTTCTCCAATCTCCATGCTATCTTCTCTAGATTAGAATGTTGCTATAGTAAATTTTTTGAATGGGATTTTATTTTATCTTATACAATATTATGTTTTGATTAATTTTTACTTTAAACCATTTGAGTTTATGTCTTATACATAGCTTCATCAACGTGTTGTAAAGATTGAACCTGTGAAGTCCTGAGATCTTCTTCTTTCTATAAAGGTCCTGATACATCTCTCAAATGTTTTTTATATTCTTCCTAATTTAGTTAGCTAACCCCTAGCAGGTAACCCAATGACTAAATTTTGATAGATGTATCGTTATTGAAATAAGAATATAATGGTTTTGTTATTGAAAGTCAACAACTTTCTTTCAAGAATTCGAGATATTTAATACTATGATTAAGATGTACAGGAGAGATGTAATTTATAATAATACACAGTTTATTTCCTTTAATGATGAATTGTCGGAGATTGAGAAACCTCAAAAAGGCATTGAAGTAAAAAATGTAATTGCTTTCATTTAAATTGAATCATTGGTAAGGGATTGGAAAGTTATTAGAGTGTGATTGAATTATAGTTTGCAATCTGCAGATATAAAAGTCTAGGTGTTTGCTACGAAAGAAAATTACTGTGTGTTAAGTCTAGGTTTTTGCTATTACTTATTTTGAGAGACTATACATTGCATGAATATGGAAATATTATGTTGCGCATATGATTTTATTGTTATTTATCATATAGCTTAATACTTACAAGTCGTTTGGATTCATTTTAGATGTCTGGATTACGGCATTATACATTAATACAAAGCATTGGAAGTACTCTGTCACGATCAAGTGATAGTCCATCTCATGAAGACTTACCTGGTCAGGTAAACACTCAAGAAGATCCAATAAACTTGTGTGGTGAGTGGAGGATAATAGACAACGTAAGAAATGAAAATTGACTTCAGTAATGTGGAACCACTTCCCAAAAAAAAATTTTTAAAAAAAAATGAATGTCATTAAGGGGAAGACGAGGCAATTTGTAACTATTGTGAAAGAAAATTTGGGGGATAAAAGTAAGAATGGAACAAAGTATTTGCATGAACATACGAAAAGATGACCTCGCTGAAATAAAAAAGATATTAAGTAGACAATATTAAATTCATTAAAGGATGCATGTGGAGGGGTTCATTAGGTACTTACTCTTTTGATCAAGACAATGCTCAAAAGAAATTTGAAATTATGATAATCTTGCACGAGTATCCTCTCTCAATGGTTGAACTCATTGGATTTAGAAGATTCATGAATACTTTGCAAAATTATTTAAGAACGTTTCTCGTAATACTATAAAGAAAAATATTTTGAAAATCTAAGATTACGAGAAATTGAAGGTAATGAGATTATTGGAGAGGAATGATAGCAAAATTGCTACCAGTACACACATGTGGACTTCTAATTAGAAGAAAGGATTCATTGCCATCACCGCACATACGATGTTTGGAGACTCAAAATCAAATTATGTGGTACTTTTCTTGTATAAAATTAATTTAGCTTATTATTATGTAATATTTAGATTTCTTTTTGTCGTAATTATGTTATTTTCATTTATTAAATACATGTTCATATACGTGCCGTGTCCACACATGTTTGAGGCACTAAGTATATCATTGATGGATTGTTTACTGGATTAGAATATTGATTGTAAGTTGTCTACTTTGATTGTCGATAATTGTACTACAGATGATGCCATAATCAACATTCTTTTAAATAAACTCTCTGGTAGTTCACTTTTGATAAATGGTGAATTTTTCCATATGTGTGGTTGTATTCACATATTGAACTTGATAGTTAAAGATGGTTTGGAGATTAGCTCAAATGTTGAGAAAATCTGTAATAGTGTTGCATATTGGACGGCAATTCCAAAAAGATTAGAGAAATTTGAGACTTCAACACGTCATTTCAAAATTTCTTGTTCCAAAAAGTTAGCACTAGATTGCAAAACTAGATGGAACTCTACATATTTGCTTCGTAGTGTTTTACAGTATATGAATGTTTTTCTTTGACTAAAGCAATGTGAGACACAATATGGATGTTTGCCTAGTGATGCGGACTGGAATTTGGCAAAAGAGAGATGTGAAAAGTTGGAAGTGTTTTTTGAAATGATTGAAATATTTTCTAGGACTAAGTACCTAACATCCAATCTTTATTTTTTCTAATATTTGTGAGATTAAGTTGTCAATTTATGATTGGATAAAATTCTTTATTGTGAAATCAAAATGATGGCTTCAA